CTACCAGGTCGATCCCGGTCCTCGGGGGAGACCTTGATCTGGAGGAGGTGGGAATGGGGGGTGGGGTGGGGGGAGGGGGAGGGGGGCGAGAGTGGGAGAACAGGGGAATCTGTGGCTATTATGTTGAACTAAATGATGTTAATGATGTTGTAAAATAAATTTACTAAAAAAAAAAATCCTTTCTCATCTCTCTGATAGCATTCGTAATCTGACTTTCATTATTATTTTGGTTTGGGCCACGGGAGTTTAGGAAGAGTTCCATGACTCCCTAGGTCTATTGGCAAGGTACTACCCCTTGGAATGAGTGACATTAGGCACATGTCAGGATAGGAGATAAGGGAATGGCTATTCAAGAACAAAAGAAAGGAATGGTGGTAGTATGATACCCTCTTGTGGGGGAATTTGAGTTAGGTAGGTCAGAAAAATTCGTAGGAAGTAATTAATGAGATCTTATGAATTACAGAACATTGACCAAACAGAGAATGTGATGGGAAGTGTATGTATACATATAGATACACATGAAGGAAGCATTTTATGCAGATGGAACACAATGTGCACAGATTTTATAGTAAAAAGGCCATGGGACATTCAAGACATCAATAGAATATTACTTTGAGTTTTCAACATCCCTGGAAAATTTAGATGAGCATGTTTTGTGTTGATGTGTGAAAGCGAAAGTGCATCCAGCTTCAAAACACTGTTAGAGTAGATCTGACATAGCAGAATTATACTCACTATGGTAACAACACTGGAATTATCAGCAAAAAAATGATCAAAGACCCCTTTACTATGAAGGGAGGAACTGGCTGATTGCAAACAATGTGAAACGCAAAGTTTCCTCCCAATATTTTCTCCAATAGAAGTAGTCATGTATGAGATGCTCAGATGGATTCATAGATCTTTATTGGTTGGAATAACTTGGGCCTCCTGCAATGAATAAAAGGCTTCTAGTAGGTGGCAAGTCCTGAACAGTATTCTGTGTAAGATATGAATCAGTGAACAGGAGGATAGAAGGTGGCATTTTAAGGAAGAGATGGTATGAGCAATGCCTTAGTTAGGGTTTCTATTGCTAGGATGGAACATCATGACCAAAAAGCAATTTGGGGAAGAAAGGGTTTGTTTGGTTTATATTTCCATACCACTGTTCATCACAGAAGGAAGTCAGAACAGGAACTCAAATAGGGCAGGAGATGATGCAGAGGCCATGGAGGGGTGCTGCTTACTGGTTTACTTCCCTTGGCTTGCTCAGCCTGCTTTCTTATAGAACCCAGTGCCACCAGCCCAGGGATGGCACCATCCACCAAGGGCTGGGCCCTCTGCCATTGATCACTAATTGAGAAAATGTCTTACAGCTGGATCTCATGGAGGTATTTCGTCAGCTGACTCTCCTTCCTCTCTAATGACTCGAGCTTGTGGCAAGTTGACAGAAAACCAGCCAGTACAAGCAATGACTTGGTAGTGTAAAGGCTATTGAGGTGGGAAATTTGGTAAAAATTAGAAGGCATGAATGGAAAAGCAAAGCATCATAACTTGAACCCATCTGAAACTCTTTCCATGACACATCAGCAATTTTGATGTGAAACTTAAGGTTTACTGGGTACCATGGGAATAAAAATAATTGGTATTTGTTCAAATGTAGACTTGAAAATACAAGTTGTTATAAACATCAGTATTTGAATCTTTGACTAGCTTTCTGCAAGACTGTAGGATACAGAAAGATCACTGCCTATTTCTCTCCTCAGGACCATACCACAAATTTGTATAAATAGGCACCTACTGCCATTTCTAGAGTCCTACTTGCTCAAGTGCTTTATCTTAGCAGTTAGTCATTCTAATAACTCATTAAATGATAGCTTTCTTAAAAGCATAGATCTGTCAAACAAGGTGACCTACTTTTATAAAATGGCAGGAGGTGGGGTGGATGTGTTTAAGCATGTGACATTTTTTTCTTATCTTTCAAATGGAAACTACTCCATTTTAAACTTAACTTTGATTACAATGTATACTTTCCAATAAGTACTAAAAGGTTAAGTTAAAATAGAGACATATGATAAGAAGGAAGGGACTTGATTTTGTCTGCCTCATCACCTAATGATTCAGGATGAGGATCTTTTAGAGAAGCATATGTATGGTAATATATCTCTTTGGTTAAAAACGTAGTGCTTGTGAAACATCATTAGGCATGGTCCATAGTCCAACTCTACTACTGTCTAGCTGTGTAAGTGTTCACAGCATGTGCCTTGTCTGCCACATCATTTATAACAAGAGTATCTGGGTCATGGGATTGCTGTGATGATCAATGAGGTATATGTGTAAAAAAACTTAGTATAATGTTTGATATTCTATTCGCTTTCTCCTGTCATCACTGCAATCGGTGTTGCTACAATGTCACCACCTGCACCAGTCCCAGCTTCCTACTCTAATAAGATATATAGTTTTATAAGGTCTTGCTAAATCATGGACCAGCAAACAACAAAGGAGGAAACAGGAAACTTCGTTTACATCACTATTTTCTGTCCTTCCTTTAACCATCATATCCCCAAGATGTGTAAAGAACATACTTTTATAAGGGGAAAAACTCCTGGGGCCTCACTCCTAGACAAAGAACTACAGGAACTAAAGGATGTTGAGAGTAGGGGAGAAATAATCTTCTCCCATGGAGGAATCCCTTAGCTAGTTATCCAATTCCAAGTGGTTACCCCTGAAATCATGCGCGCGCATGCGCGCACACACATACACACACTCACTCACACAAACACACACACTTACACACACATACACATACACACACATACACACAAGCACACACACACACACGCACACGCACACGCACACGCACATACATCAGTAGAAATTAGGGAAGAGGCCAGGAAGAAGGGGGTGAGTAGAGCAGCTTGGGAGAAAGGAAAGGTAATAGGTAATAGATGGAAATTGTGTGATTATATTTTAATTAAAAATATACTTTCAGAGATTATGTTTACAGTTTATTACCCAAAAGGATATCTATAAGAAGACAAGTCAACGTTTATGCCTCTTTCTCTGTTTCCACAGGAACCTGTAGACTTGGCTGGGCCTATTACTGTGCTGGGGGCGGAGCCGCTGCAGCCATGTTGATCTGTACCTGGCTCTCTTGCTTTGCTGGAAGAAATCCCAAGCCAGTCATGTTGGTGGAGAGCATCATGAGGAATACCAATTCTTATGCCATGGAGCTTGATAACTGCCTCAAACCTTAAGCTTTGAAAGAAGATTTACTGAAGAGGGTGGGAAGGGGAGGGAAACAAGCCCTGGAAAGAGGTACTAAGCCAAAGCAGCTACCTACTAGTAGTGTAGCTTAGTGCTTGCATGCTTTGGAACCACTTGCCATTCATTTTCACATTCCCATAGAACTCTTAAGTCCATGCTAATCTATACAATCTAGCACAATGTTTCTCTCACTCATTTGACAAGAGTTTCCACTGACCACACAAGTTCCATTGAGGCCATTTATGCAAAACAAGATCCTTACTTGAAAAGAAACTCCTCAGAGTTCTATAATTCTTCCTTCCTACTTACTTTAAACCTTAGATACTGTTCAGGAGCAGTTGTACAGGGAGGCACTAGGAGATGGACTAAGCTGGTTCCCATCCATTCATTTGCATGGTTCTCCCTGCAATATTTGTTGTTACCCACAAACATATCTCGAGTATCACTATGCAAAACTTTTGTGACTTTCTCAGGCCTCTGCTTTGTCCTGTTTTTCTCTCTCCTCATGCATGGGAAAGCTTGGTGGAAGGGTAACTTCAGAGGGGAAAACATTAATCATACTTGCTTGCATATAGTCTGGGCACCTTTCACATTATGCTTTAGAATATTTATAGATTTTTCTACTCTTTCTGGGCAATTGGTATCAAAATATAATGGCAAAGTGTTCCCTAATCCCTTCTAGATATAGAAATGTTGTTCATTGACTATTTTGAGTCAAGGCTAACATTAGTGAGGTGTTCAATAAACATGCAGTCTCAGTGATGATGACAAGGATGTTTTCGCTGTATTCTCCTTGAAAATTTTTACCAGAGTTTATTATGTGACTAGGAAGTCTGCAATGACATTTGTCCCAGTGATCATCTGTAGTGTGATAAAAGTTTCTCTGTCTGCTTTAATGACTGCTCTTCAAATCATCTTGCTTCCATCTGGAATGAGTTAGATATGAAAGAATACAGCCATGATGTCACCTAGGGCTGAAGTATTTTTAGGCCTGGCTTCTAGCCCATCTGTGATCAAGGCTGATGGATGATGGAGAATTTGGTGTCTCCCTGGGGGAAATTAGTCTCACCCCTTCCCTCAGCTCATTAAGGCCAGTGTTATTATTCCATAACTCCAGCTTTAGGGACAAAGGAGGGATTGTAATTCAAAAGGCCAGCTCATCTGTTTTTACTCCTAAACATTCCACCATCGATTTGGTCCTCCTAGAGGGAAAACCTAACAAAGCTGGCTTGATTAATTGTAGACCATACCATAAAGAGTCGGAGTTCTTATGTTTGCCTCATGCATGTAACTGAATTCAAACATATACTCCATTCGTAGTCATTCATAATTAATTCATTTAATCATTCATTTACGAAACATTTCTTAAATATTCAACACTCTGTGACAAGCACTAGGCTTCAATGATGAAAATAGTTTCTCAGCCTAAAATGAGTACCAGCATGCCAATAAATAATTGTCAATGTGTTAAGTGCTAGGAAAGTTAAGGTGGGGGGAGGGGTTAAAGGATTACAAAACTAAGTTGGTAGCTTAAGGGAGGATAGGGATGTCTTTTTTTTTTAAAGTGATGACTAAGATGGGTTTGAAAAATGAAGAGAGGGAGCTAATCATCAAAGGGAAAGGTACACAGGAACAAAAGCCTGGGGACAGAGTGAGGATGAACACCAAGTTTCAAAATGAACTGACAAGATGCCACTATAAGGAAGGGACTCTTTGTCACTTGGACTTGCCTCAGTTGAATGTACCAGGCTCTGCTGACTTCCCATGGAGCCTTTTCACTGGAGGGGCTAGGGGTTTGATGGGGGAAAAGGCTGGGGGCGTGGCGGGAGGAGGGAAGGGAGGGGGATCTGTGAATGAACAAAAAATTTCTTAATAAGAAAAAAAGGAATAAAACAAACTGACCAACATGGCACTGTAAGAGAACAGTAGCAATATTCTGTGTAACCCAAGGTAATGAGTTCGAATTGTAACCTAAAGGATGGCCAGTGAAAAGGAAATCACACGAGTGCCTTTGTGTTCATCCAAAGATCTACAGCAAATAATGAAAGAGGATAGAGAAAGGCTAGAGATATTTACATAATAGAGACACAAAATGAATAAATTGGGAATAAAGGCTGGAAAAGGGGGATGAATACAACAAAAGATATAGATTGAGCCTTTCCACTTCAAAATGCTTCCAAATCTAAAGTAATTTAAAATTGTTGTCCTCAAAAATAAGTTCCAGAGCATTTCCCATTCTATGTTTCTTTTGGGGATTAAGAATGACCAATTTATATAATCCATGCCAACATTCCAAATCTAAATAATTCTGAAAATTCAAAGGCAGCCTTGGCTGTATAGTGAGTTCAAGACCAGCCTGAGATACATGAGAACTTGCCTTAAAAAAAGAAAAATAACAAAAATTACTCTGCAAAACAAAATACAGTAACTTAAACAGGTATATTTATTTGTTGTCTATTAGCTTGAACATAGGTAATTTGGTTCTCACTGAAGTAAACTAATAATATCTTAAAATATATGTGCAGTATTTTGGTTTCATATTTCAACAGTTTATATTGCTGTGTGTTTTTTATGATTTCCAATGTCAGTAAAACATTAGACTAAATTTTTGTTCTCATAGTAGAAATTTCAAAGGGGATCCAAAAATGCTAGACTTTTAAATACATTTTTAGTGGGATTTAGCTTGTTGAATACATAACTTTTTAAATTGAAGAAAATTGGAACACTTACAGTTCCAAGCATTTTGGAAAAGAGATACTCAATTATGTTCCTAGAAAGGCAATTCTTTGTCAACACATGCAGGTGAGGCCAAGTAAAAGTTTAGAATTATCACTCTGGAATATGGGTGATGTCAAGATGGGGATTATAGATCATAAGCAACTGATGTTCAAATTCATGTTGAATATGAATTCCCCCTAGAATACAGATTGATTAAATATTTAAGCTAAAGCATGTTGACAAAACTTTCTGGAAACAAGTGTATCTTGAGTTCATAGCATTAACTTACCCAAGTAAGATGACTCAGTATAGCTAAAACAAAACTTTAAACAGCTCAATCCTCACATTCATTTTATAAACATTGTAATGCAATCCTTATTTAAGAGGGCACAGTCTATGAAGAACATGTTAAATGGGCAGGAAAAGGCAATTCAACTAGGTGATCTCACTTTTCAGGATATGGAAATTTCAGAATATGGGACAGATCTTGTGCAGGCAAATGTATATAATAGTCTCCTGGGGAAAACACCGGCAATACATAAGGAGTTTAGATAAGTGTAACAGAAGAACACATGATGGTATGTGTCAGGTAAAGGGCACCTACAAGAATAAAAATTGACAGGCATAAAATTCCTAGGAATAGAAGGGTAGCCATTTCCATTGTTAAGACCGAAGGAGTAAGGGAGGAAATGACATTTTTGAAAGCCAGCAATAATTGTATTGAAAGAAAAGGAAGAGGCCACCTGATAGGAGCTGTGCCTTTAGAGAGCACACTGCAGTTTATGCCTAAATGAAACACAAAGGGAAGGAGACAGGGTATGAATACATGTCTCACTCTCTTCCTGTTCTGATAGTCATCTAGTGCTCACCATTAGCTTGACTCAGCCAGATGCTAAATGGCAAGGAAATCTTTGCTATTGTCCACGGAAGTCAACTTCCTTTGGTAATATGTGGGTAAATCGAAAATAACTCCATGAGTGGTTTGTACTCTGCCAACTACCATTTCCTATTATACTGCCTCCAAAGACGTATCTATTCAGCTTCCCTTTAAGCCCAGCTATCCGAACACAGTGAAGTAGTAGCACTAACTGGGGTAGGGAGTGGGTGGCAGCGCTAAGAAGGAGGATGTTAATTTGAAAGAACCTTGATAAAGGGGACTACAAGGAATGGAGAGAGGGGGAACTGCAAAAAGAAAGAAAGAAAGAAAGAAAGAAAGAAAGAAAGAAAGAAAGAAAGAAAGAAAGAAAGAAAGAAAAGAAAATTTTAAAAAATGAGTTGTAGGTAGAAGACAGAATGTTTCCATATGTTTTTAGGAAAATGGAACCATATTTGAAAAGGATTTTCCTCTTATGAAGCAATCAGTCCTGAACAACTACATTTTCAGCATGAATTTAAAATGTCCACCCATATAGCTGGTTCCATTCCACCAACCCTTGTTTTGTCATAAATGTTGGACTAAACTAGTGTCTCCCTGCCTCTTACCCACACCCTGTGGTCTAGATTATATTCTTGACTATGAAATCTGTGTCTTCTCGTTGCAATGGTGTAGAAAGGAAAAAGAAACCATGAGTCTGGTGGGATTCTGAATGAGTGAAAAGGGGACCCCAGAGACCCCACTATTTGAGCAAGAAGGCTTCTATGAAACAGACACTTTACAAATTGTCAAAGGAACCTCACTATAGAGGATGCTGATCCTTTCAGAATGTTCCAGGGGTATAGTAGTAGTCAAGATTTTGTGTCTATGGCAAGCTGTCTGTGCCTATTTGCTAAGGAAAGATACTTATCTCACAGTTGTCAAAGCTCAAGGTCATGATACCTGCATTGGCTCAGCTCTAGTCAAGGCTCTCTTGGCGGTATCATATGAAGATGTATGGCAACAATTAAATCTAGTGTATCTTGTTACACGATCTAGAGACTCAAAGTTTGGACTCAGGTTTTTATACTATTTTATTCTCCTGGGAACTGAAAGAAACCCATTTAAAAACCCTTCCAAGAGTTTATATCACAACATCCAAGAACATCCCACTAGGTTCAACCCAGTAAAAGATCCCCCTCTGTAAACCAAGTTTTCTATTCATGGGCCTTTGGTTGAAAGAAAAACCACATTGTAACCACGCAAATATTTTCTTTAGAGTCTAGGATTCACTCCCCATAGCAATACAAATGTGTATCAGTTTCAAGAATAATTTTATTCCAAGACAGCTTAGTGATGGGAAAAAAGAAGTTTCAAAGAAAGTAATACTGGATGTATTTTATAAGAGGTGGAAGATAT